GTCGGGCTGGTTTCGGGCTGTGTCTCGCTGTGTCTCGCTGTCTCGCAGACGGCCACTGGGCTCATAGGGAGGGAGGGGGGGGCAGGAGCTCCAACAAGCCGTTTAGGACAGAGAGTGAATACACATACTATACAGAGAAGCTGTATGAGAAACCAATGTGAGTTTGGAAAATTGCACAATATAAATCTATTCTAGTAGACCTCAACAATGGAATTATAATCAGTAGAAATGGCCATGACATGGAACCTTTAAATCAATTAAGATGTATTTCTCGAAACAAGATGATCCATCTTTTAGAAATATACCAGAGCAGCTTATTGCATCTGAGATACATCTAAAACAAATATGTTTTCAAGGGTATTCAAATGTAAACATATACTTAAAATGGATTCTCTAAAAAACAGACCCTATATCTCACGGCATTGTTTCTTTTGAAGTTATGATGTCTTATATCAGAAATAAAGACACATTCTGACTAGACAAATATACATGGCAAGATTTCGAGTTTCAAGTAACTTAAGGGACTTCCCAAGGCCTCGGCCTACTTAGCTTCCAGTCTGGGAGATAGGAGAAGAAGAAGAAAAGCACAGCAGCTGCCAAGCAGACGGCATGAGAAGGTGTCAGGAAACAACATTTTTTTGTCTTGATCCACAGCGGCGGGATAAAGGTCTGCGATCTCTCAGACGCGTTTTTTGAGCTTCTTTCTGATGACCCGACAGTGAAGCAGCACACTCAGGAGTCAAACATCTCTTTTAAGACAGTAACACTGAAAAACCTTTCCTCCGCCAATTTATTCAGATCTTAGAGACATTGAAATATGCATTTTCCAAAGTATTATTGGCTTACATGGGCTGAGAACCTGGCTAGGAGAGAGAGAGCTTCTGAGGGACAGACATTCTGATTTGAATTGTTCCTCCTGCCACCGCCACATCAGAGGTAATAAACTGGAATATGTGCCACTTGATGTTTGCATCCCTGCTGGCTTTGGAAATATTGGGTGGACAAAAGAAGATATCTGGTTCCCATCACAGCGAGACGCCTGACTATCTAGACTAGAGTGTGGCACATTTACTGGGAGTGAGGAAAGGACCTCACTGGAAGTTTGAAACCTTACACCAAAACATATCTTATTCCATGTGACAATGAATGCATTAAGCAGGAACCCTTAAACACAACTGGTTTAGGTGCAAAGGGAATAAAATAAAGGATAGTCATAGTACAGATGCTACATACATCAGTGAGCAAGAAAACATGACTCCAAATTAATGATTATGTTAATCTGCGAAAAGTGTAAATATGTAAAAAGTTTGCCATTTCAACCCATAAGGGTGTCAGTATGCTATCTAATCTAAATAGGTTGTGCAAAGGGCTTAGGTGGAGGATTCAGTTAAAATGCACACGTACAATTAAGTGTCTAACATGTTAGAAAGCCATGAACACTCACCATAACTCTCCAAAAATCGCTTTATTTCTGTAGGGGAGAGTGGGGTAGATGAATAGATTTAACTTAAATTGTCCTCTAGGCCAGGGGTTCCCAAAGTGGGGGTCGATGATTACAAATTAAAAATAGAAAATAAAAATAAAAATATCTTTTTTTTATCAATTTAATTTTTTTTATTAGTAATAATAACGTGGGCATAGACATTTTTCAGGGGCGGACTAGCCATCTGTATAATTCTCCGCAGCGAGGCTCCCCCCGTTGACAATCCACTAGCGCAGTGTTTCTCAGACTTTTTCATACCAAGGACACTTAACCAATAAAAAAACAATCATGGACCACCTAACTCCACGAATATCCCAAAACAATAGACCTGCTTACTCATTCCAACAGTACATAACAGCCTAATAATGACAGCTTAACCTTCCCTACATCGCCTCGTTCACGCAATAAATCAACAATACAAATACAACTACAGATTATATAAGCATTTAGTTCAACTGCGATTTAAAATGCTCCCAGGTTTTACACCTGTTATGAAATGCAGACTACATTTATTACTGAGTTTATGTCCAACAGACTCACAGATCGTTGGCTACTGAGAGATATGCAAAATACACCGCATGTAGTACGACACAAACCTCCGCTGCGGATTTTCAAAACAAAATACAGTAAAACTATGGTCGCAGGCCCAAGTTTAACTCTCTGAGGCCTGCATGGTCTGCCTACAAATAAAATATAAAAAAAGGTTTACACGGCCCCAACAACAGCCTCTGATCATCAACAGACTTCATGCAATGCTTCATCAGATGCATATATTAAATAATAATCTCTATCTCACTCCTAACACATCTAAATCTACTTTCAGCATGGATAAATGTTCATCCAATACATCCATTGTTTGTTCTATATGCTTCTTGAAATCCTAAAAAACATATTGTCTTTCTAGAACAGATTACAAACCGCCTGAAAATGGTACAAACAAGTGGCAACATGCTTGACGGAGGTGTTGTGCTGGGCTATATCATGCAATGAAACTTAAGCTCGCTCCATTGCGGAGATATTCCCGCGAGAGTGTGGAAAACTGAAATAAATTCACTATGTCTGTCTGTCTGTCTGACTCACCTGTATATCTACCTGTCTGTCTGTCTGTCTGTCTGACTGACTCACCTGTCTATCTACCTGTGTGTGTGCAGGTGTATAAGGAGGACCTACCTCAGCTGAGGAAGAAGCTGATTGGTTCTCTGAAGCGCCAGAAGGCTCCGGAGGAGGGGCTTCGTTTGCAGTTTGTTCACGGGTAAGAACAATAAAGTTTTATTCAGGAACTAAAGAAAAGAGTGTTTGTTGTTGTAATGCTCGTTTCAGCCACAGGAGGCTTCAGCACCTCCCCACGTCACGATCTAATCCATATTCTAAAAGCATTTTAAGAAACTCACAATCCTTAAATTCAGCCGCTGTAATCTACTGCTTGTTTACGTGGTCTTTTCAGCCTCTTGTGGCCAAACTCAGTATTACCACAACAACATTAGAAGAATGATCCTGACAAGATACATGTATAAAAAGAACCACCAGAAGTGTTTAAAGTGAAGTGTGGTTGTGGCTCCTCAGGTACCGGGGCTTCGACTGCAGGAATAACCTGTTCTACAGCCAGACAGGGGAGCTGCTGTTCCACGTGGCTGCGGTCGCTGTGGTGTACGACCGCCTGAAGCACAGCCAGAGGTTCTACCTGGGCCACGACGAGGACATTCTCTGCCTCACCACGCACCCCATCAAGGACTACGCTGCCTCCGCTCAGGTACAGCCAATCACAGCCAATCACAGACTACGCTGCCTCCGCTCAGGTACAGCCAATCACAGACTACGCTGCCTCCGGTCAGGTACAGCCAATCACAGCCAATCACAGACTACGCTGCCTCCGCTCAGGTACAGCCAATCACAGACTACGCTGCCTCCACTCAGGTAAAGCCAATCACAGCCAATCACAGCCTACGATGCTTCCACTCAGGTACAGCCAATCACAGCGCAGCACTGACAGGGCTTCTGACTGGTGTGTTCAGGTGTACTCTGATTGGCTGTGTGTTCAGATGTGTTCTGATTGGCTGTGTGTTCTGATTGG